AAAAAAAAACAAAGACAAGAAGAAACAAGTAGTGGAAGTGGATTATCAAAAAGAAAAGCTTTTGAATTTTTCAAGAATATGTCATTTTTGGAACCATTTGTGAAGAGAAGAAGGTATAATAAAAATTAAATTGTTAAGAAATTAGAATAATAAAGGTATCTTTTTTGTGTATTCTTAAAATTCTTTGTACGATAAAAGCAATTTTTAGACATTACTTTTTTTCCTTTTAGAACGATGACCAATGTGTTTAGTAACAGCTCATCTTCATTGCCAAAACAGTACACTCTTCAGAAGTATATAAGACATAAATATAATATTCATATAAAATTAAGAACACTTTTATATACAAATCACTAATGAAATCTCTATTGTCTATTCCAGAAACTTTAGTTCTAACAACGAAAAAGAAAATAATTTTTCTTTGGCAAATGCGATTACGTTCATTGAACAGAATTCTTCCAAAAATATAAAATCACCAGAACAAAATCGATATAAAACAAGCAGCGACAATGAAGTCAATGTATCTTCTACGAAAGCAGCTACTGCGATTGGACAATCTTTTACAGATGTCAAAAATTCAGCACATTTAAAGTAAATATTTTCACAAGCATTCGTTCGTTCGTAGGATTTCTTACTTTGAGAATTGAATTAGTTTTCATTGAAAGCTGTATTTTATATCTGTTCAATGTATATGTATATGTATATATTTGTAGATTTTAGATATTCATAGATTTTCTGTATAATAAAAATAATTATTGTTTCAGAGACTCATCTGCACATTTTTATTCCAAAGTATCAAACGACGATGCTTCTTCGATGTCAGCGTTAAGTGCCTGCGATTATGCGCGGAAGAAAGATTTGAATAGTAAATCAAAAGGAAAATCGCAGCCAGATGTTCTACAAAATGCAATTTGCAAAATTACATCTTTACTAGAAAATAAATACTCTTCAAATGTTTCGACTGCCTCGTTATCTCTAAAACCAGAAATAGAGGAAGATGTAGCTTTTTGTCAACTTATACTTTCTTCACTTGTAAAGATGCAGCAATGTGAAAACGTGGAAAAAAAGAAGAAAATATTGCGTATTATATATGATGTATAGAATAATCAAAGTTTTTAAAAGACTGACACAACTTTGAAAAATGCAATTTTCTGGCAATATATTTTTTTATTTAATTTTGTTTTGTTTAGTTTTAATTTAATAATATAAAAATTGAAGCAGTTGAATAGTATTTGTTTTATAATAAAATGTATTAGCATTAATGATTTAAGTTTTGTTTTGTTTAAAGTATAAAATAATATAAAATGTATCAGTATAAATGATATACAATTATATTTTGTTCAGAGTTTAAATATAATAATACAATATATTAGCATAAATATCAAGTTTTGTTTTGTTAAAAATAAAATGTATGTACATTTAATAAGTAAAATATAATGTAATTTGTATTAAAGTATCTTATGGATCATCATGATGCAGCCCTCTTCTAACATATTGATATTGCCATGGAACTTCACCTTGTGGTGTTAAAAAATAATCAGCCAATTTATCTCTTTGTTTATATGCAACTGTAGTTGCATAATGCATTGAAGTAGGAGGTATGTCTCTGAACGCATTTTGTACATGTCTTCGCCACTCTCCAGGAATAATGTTACCCGCTACATCTTCTGAGTCCACAAAGTTAGGAAGACAATATATTCTATTCTCTATTTGCACAACATCTTCCTCAAACTTTATATAGTTATGCAGACATATAGTCGCCATGACAATCGTATCTATATATTTAGGATGTACGTTAATTGGCTTCCGATAAATCCTCCATCGTGAAGTTAAGATGCCGAAAGTGTTTTCTATCGTACGCCTTGCTCTAGACAATCTGCAATTCAACAGAACGTGTAATAAAGCATACATATCTTATATAATAGCACTAATTAATAAAAACGCAAACTGCTAACCTGTAATTAAATATATTTTTTCTTTCATCAAGTAACTTTCCAGAGTAAGGTCGCATCATAATACTACTGGTTGGAAAACCGCTATCTCCGAGAAAAAAACATGGCAAGTTAATGTTGCTTCCAGGAAGCTTTGCAGATCCTTTAGGAAGATTTAATGTTCCTTCTTGCAGTGCCAAATGAATATCAGAAGAGGTAAAAATACCCCCATCGCTACTGCTACCATACGCGCCTATATCGACTAATGTGAATCTATATCTGTGATCACATGCAGCCATTAATACAATACTAAATTTTTTTTTGTAATTAAAGAATAAGCTCCCAGAATGTGGTGGAGCTTGTATTTCCACATGTTTCCCATCAAATGATCCAACACAGTGAGGAAAATTCCAATTTGTTAGAAAACCAGTGCAAATATTTTTCCATTCTTCTTCTGTTGGTAAACAAAGGTAAATCGGTTGCAATACCTTTACTATGACAGAACAAGTTTCATGAATAATTTTTCGTACTGTTGACTCTCCGCATCTAAAAGCTAGTGCAATGGACAATATTTGATCTCCTGTTGCCAAATATCTACAAAAATAATCTTGATATATAAAATACTACTATCAAATATTTACAAATATAATATCATGTTACACATGTATTTTACTATTGTTACAATTAAACAACTGTTGTTTATTTAATAGTATATGACAAATGAATACCTTAGAGTTATGATCAATCGATGTTCTGGACTAAAAGCTCGTTTGCTCAGTTTAGTTAAAAAAGGCTTTGTCATTTGTAATAAATGTTTGAATGTTTCCTTTTTCATTCTTGCATATCGAAAAAATGTTTCCAAATCATTATATTTTAATTCCTGGACAAGATGTTCGTAATCTCCATATATAGGACGTGCAACATTAATGGGTCTCACCCACCATCTCCGATTTAACCATCTCTTTTTTCGATTCTTTTCTTGTAACAACATTAATAAGCACAATTGCAATAAAGACAAAATGAGAAAATCTTCATCCATGTTCACATGTATGATGCTTTATGTCCAATTATGTAAAATTATAATTATAATAAACATCTAAAAATATAAAAATACGAATCAAATGACTATTCGCGTATTATTAACTTATGGTATTATTTTATTTTTACAGTATACACAAAGATTTATTAATAGTCTTTCAATTTTCGTTACATTAGATAATATAAATGACATTTAAATAAAATTATTAATAAAATTATTAATTAAATCAATGTTTTATTTAAAATCCAAACATGCAAAGAACATTACAAAAAACTTACGTGACACAGTAAAATTTTATTTTTTGGTATTAATTGTAGTTGCTATAAACTTTTGTTCTGACTAACCTAGATATAAAATAAGAAAAAAATAATTAATATTATCATTCAATAATATTATTTATATTATTATCTTTTAATTTGATTTAATTTACCGTTTATCAATGTATATTTGCGATAGCATTCGATGTCCAAAAAACTTTAAGGTTAGAATGTTAAGAGCCAATGCACAAGTTTGTGCGTTGATGAACGTTACGTTATGCTCTATGCATTATGCCTTATGCGTTATGTAAAAGTCTGTGCTCTGGCCTTAACGCGGTGCTGTCGAACTGATGCACGATATCTGCAAGACGTGAGATATCGCGAAGGGAAGCGTTCACCGCGGTGGAGGCTTCGAGGTAATCCGGAATGGACGCGCGAACCTTTCTCGTAAACGCCGATCGTTTCGAGAAGGTAGAGGATCCGTGGAGTTATCTAACTATCTTGTATTACAATGCCAACATGTCCTTAGACACTCTAAAGGCAATAAGCCCAACGTGCAAGTGCACTCAAAAAGGCCGTGGTGAGTTTCACAAAAGAGTACCTCGCTGAGGCAGTGACCGTGTTGCGCACCGGCAATCAAAGGCCTAGAGCCGTCGCTCGCAGCGTCTTATATAGGCGCTGCACCGCAATTTAACAGCAAGTGACGGCCCTGGCTCGGCTCGCCGCCGCATAGCGGCGACGGCGCGAAGCAGCGGCGAGCGGTATCCGCCCGCGAGCGGAACGCACCTAGCGCATGGCCGTCCACCGTACTCTGTCCGTGCGGATGACAGCGTCCGTACGGAACAATCTATTTTTATTTACGTTTTATAGTTACATTAGACAGATAACTCATCGCTTATAATAAGCGTTTATTTATATATATATATATATATATATATATATATATATATATATATATATATATATATATATATATATATA